AAAACAGACATTTCCAATTTTCTGAAAAAAATTCAAGGGGTTTCATCACAAAAATCTAAAAAAATATTGGATCTCCTAAAAAGTAAAATTTAGTATGCAGATTTGTTAAGCGCCAAACAACTAACACAGGAACGCTTTCCGAATTGAAATTAATTCATTTTTGACATAGTTATGCGATTTCTAAGCTTGGGTTGTCCCAAAAATATGATATAAAAAATACTGTTAAAAAAAAATTATCAAATAAAAATATCGATTTTAGGAATCTTGCAGCGGAAAATATAATTTTTAACAGTGAAGGAGCCATTTCCGACCCTATAAGTTATATATATTCTTGATCAGCATTAACAGGCGAATCGTTCTGGCCATCTCAGGTAGCAAAACAGACATTTCCAATTTTCTGAAAAAATTCAAGGGGTTTCATCACAGAAATCTAAAAAATATTGGATCTCCTAAAAAGTAAAATTTAGTATGCAGATTTGTTAAGCGCCAAACAACTAACACAGGGACGCTTTCCGAATTGAAATTAATTCATTTTTGACGTAGTTATGCGATTTCTAAGCTTGGGTTGTCCCAAAAAATATGATATAAAAAATACTGTTAAAAAAAAATCAAATAAAAATATCGATTTTAGGAATCTTGCAGCGGAAATATAATTTTTAACAGTGAAGGAGCCATTTCCGACCCTATAAGTTATATATATTCTTGATCAGCATTAACAGGCGAATCGTTCTGGCCATCTCAGGTAGCAAAACAGACATTTCCAATTTTCTGAAAAAAATTCAAGGGGTTTCATCACAAAAATCTAAAAAAATATTGGATCTTCTAAAAAGTAAAATTTAGTATGCAGATTTGGTAAGCGCCAAACATCTAACACAGGAACGCTTTCCGAATTGAAATTAATTCATTTTTGACATAGTTATGCGATTTCTAAGCTTGGGTTGTCCCAAAAAATATGATATAAAAAATACTGTTAAAAAAAATTATCAAATAAAAATATCGATTTTAGGAATCTTGCAGCGGAAAATATAATTTTTAACAGTGAAGGAGCGATTTCCGACCCTATAATCATATATATTCTTGATCAGCATTAACAGGCGAATCGTTCTGGCCATCTCAGGTAGCAAAACAGACATTTCCAATTTTCTGAAAAAAATTCAAGGGGTTTCATCACAAAATCTAAAAAATATTGGATCTCCTAAAAATTAAAATTTAGTATGCAGATTTGTTACGCGCAAAACAACTAACACAGGAACGCTTTCCGAATTGAAATTAATTCATTTTTGACATGGTTATGCGATTTCTAAGCTTGGGTTGTCCCAAAAAATATGGTATAAAAAATACTGTTAAAAAAATTATCAAATAAAATATCGATTTTAGGAATCTTGCAGCGGAAAATATAATTTTTAACAGTGAAGGAGCCATTTCCGACCCTATAAGTTATATATATTCTTGATCAGCATTAACAGGCGAATCGTTCTGGCCATCTCAGGTAGCAAAACAGACATTTCAATTTTCTGAAAAAAATTCAAGGGGTTTCATCACAAAAATCTAAAAAATATTGGATCTTCTAAAAAGTAAAATTTAGTATGCAGATTTGTTAAGCGCCAAACAACTAACACAGGAACGCTTTCCGAATTGAAATTAATTCATTTTTGACATAGTTATGCGATTTCTAAGCTTGGGTTGTCCCAAAAAATATGATATAAAAAATACTGTTAAAAAAATTATCAAATAAAAATATCGATTTTAGGAATCTTGCAGCGGAAAATATAATTTTTAACAGTGAAGGAGCCATTTCCGACCCTATAAGTTATATATATTCTTGATCAGCATTAACAGGCGAATCGTTCTGGCCATCTCAGGTAGCAAACAGACATTTCCAATTTTCTGAAAAAATTCAAGGGGTTTCATCACAAAAATCTAAAAAAATATTGGATCTTCTAAAAAGTAAAATTTAGTATGCAGATTTGGTAAGCGCCAAACATCTAACACAGGAACGCTTTCCGAATTGAAATTAATTCATTTTTGACATAGTTATGCGATTTCTAAGCTTGGGTTGTCCCAAAAAATATGATATAAAAAATACTGTTAAAAAAAATTATCAAATAAAATATCGATTTTAGGAATCTTGCAGCGGAAAATATAATTTTTAACAGTGAAGGAGCCATTTCCGACCCTATAAGTTATATATATTCTTGATCAGCATTAACAGGCGAATCGTTCTGGCCATCTCAGGTAGCAAAACAGACATTTCCAATTTTCTGAAAAAATTCAAGGGGTTTCATCACAAAATCTAAAAAATATTGGATCTTCTAAAAAGTAAATTTAGTATGCAGATTTGTTAAGCGCCAAACAACTAACACAGGAACGCTTTCCGAATTGAAATTAATTCATTTTTGACATAGTTATGCGATTTCTAAGCTTGGGTTGTCCCAAAAAATATGATATAAAAAATACTGTTAAAAAATTATCAAATAAAATATCGATTTTAGGAATCTTGCAGCGGAAAATATAATTTTTAACAGTGAAGGAGCGATTTCCGACCCTATAAGTTATATATATTCTTGATCAGCATTAACAGGCGAATCGTTCTGGCCATCTCAGGTAGCAAAACAGACATTTCCAATTTTCTGAAAAAAATTCAAGGGGTTTCATCACAAAATCTAAAAAATATTGGATCTCCTAAAAAGTAAAATTTAGTATGCAGATTTGTTAAGCGCCAAACAACTAACACAGGGACGCTTTCCGAATTGAAATTAATTCATTTTTGACATAGTTATGCGATTTCTAAGCTTGGGTTGTCCCAAAAAATATGATATAAAAAATACTGTTAAAAAAAAATCAAATAAAATATCGATTTTAGGAATCTTGCAGCGGAAAATATAATTTTTAACAGTGAAGGAGCGATAAATCATATATATTCTTGATCAGCATTAACAGGCGAATCGTTCTGGCCATCTCAGGTAGCAAAACAGACATTTCCAATTTTCTGAAAAAAATTCAAGGGGTTTCATCACAAAAATCTAAAAAAATATTGGATCTCCTAAAAAGTAAAATTTAGTATGCAGATTTGTTAAGCGCCAAACAACTAACACAGGGACGCTTTCCGAATTGAAATTAATTCATTTTTGACATAGTTATGCGATTTCTAAGCTTGGGTTGTCCCAAAAAATATGATATAAAAATACTGTTAAAAAAAAAAATCAAATAAAAATATCGATTTTAGGAATCTTGCAGCGGAAAATATAATTTTTAACAGTGAAGGAGCGATAAATCATATATATTCTTGATCAGCATTAACAGGCGAATCGTTCTGGCCATCTCAGGTAGCAAAACAGACATTTCCAATTTTCTGAAAAAATTCAAGGGGTTTCATCACAAAAATCTAAAAAAATATTGGATCTCCTAAAAAGTAAATTTAGTATGCAGATTTGTTAAGCGCCAAACAACTAACACAGGACGCTTTCCGAATTGAAATTAATTCATTTTTGACATAGTTATGCGATTTCTAAGCTTGGGTTGTCCCAAAAATATGATATAAAAAATACTGTTAAAAAATTATCAAATAAAAATATCGATTTTAGGAATCTTGCAGCGGAAAATATAATTTTTAACAGTGAAGGAGCGATTTCCGACCCTATAAATCATATATATTCTTGATCAGCATTAACAGGCGAATCGTTCTGGCCATCTCAGGTAGCAAAACAGACATTTCCAATTTTCTGAAAAAATTCAAGGGGTTTCATCACAAAAATCTAAAAAATATTGGATCTCCTAAAAAGAAAAATTTAGTATGCAGATTTGTTAAGCGCCAACAACTAACACAGGAACGCTTTCCGAATTGAAATTAACTCATTTTTGACATAGTTATGCGATTTCTAAGCTTGGGTTGTCCCAAAAAATATGATATAAAAAATACTGTTAAAAAATTATCAAATAAAAATATCGATTTTAGGAATCTTGCAGCGGAAAATATAATTTTTAACAGTGAAGGAGCGATTTCCGACCCTATAAATCATATATATTCTTGATCAGCATTAACAGGCGAATCGTTCTGGCCATCTCAGGTAGCAAACAGACATTTCTAATTTTCTGAAAAAAATTTAAGGGGTTTCATCACAAAAATCTAAAAAATATTGGATCTCCTAAAAAGTAAATTTAGTATGCAGATTTGTTAAGCGCCAAACAACTAACACAGGAACGCTTTCCGAATTGAAATTAATTCATTTTTGACATAGTTATGCGATTTTTAAGCTTGGGTTGTCCCAAAAATATGATATAAAAATGCTGTTAAAAAAAATTATCAAATAAAATATCGATTTTAGGAATCTTGCAGCGGAAAATATAATTATAATAAAAAATTAAATGGGTTACATCGTTAAACTTGTAAAAAATCTAATATCAAAAAATAACTCCTCTTAGTTTTCAACTTCTGACTTAAGGTGCAATATCATTTTTGTTTATCGATTTTAACTATATTTTTATATGCAAATTTTTTCCACAAATCATTGTTTAAAGGTTCTGACTAAATTTAAATACGCTTGCAAAGGTTTTACAACTGTTTAGATACCTGTATAACACGTACTTTTTTAGTGAATTTAAATTAATTAGCATAAAATATAAATTAAAATTGTTGGTATAATACTATTACTCAAATAATTTATTTAGATGAAACAATCTATGTTGAAAGATCGCTGGATCTTTAGGGTGTTTAAAACACTTAAAAACGTGTCTTTAAATATGCCATAAATATGTTTAGGTTACAATAGATTTTATTTTTAATGATGTAAAATGTCTTTTAGCATAAATTTTGTTACCATTTTTACCATTTGTTACCATTTATTATGAAAATCTTAAAGATTTCACTACCAAATTTTAATAAACATATTAATATCTCGATTTTCCTGAACACTTAACAATAAATATAAGCAATAATAAACCATCTCTTGAAACCTCTTTTCTTTATTAATAACCTCCTTTTTCCTCACTTCTTCTTGCAGTGCTTCCCGACTCCACGGCCAGTGACCTGGATCAGCACCTGAGCAGCCTGGTTGGCTCCACCAGTGGCCAGATGACGCACCACAGCCTGCTGGGAGCCACCGGCCAGACCTCCATCTCATCGACGGTCAACGGGGCGAGCAGTGCGGGTGGTGCCGGCGGTGCTGCCGCCGGTGGTGGCAATGGCACTAGCGGCGGTGGTGGCAGCGGTGGTGCCGGTAACTCCATTCTGGTGCCACGCTATCACACGAATGCGAGCAATGAATATAATGTTCACTCCAGCCAGAATGGTCCACGCAGCCTGAGTGACAGCTCCCAGGCGGAGTCACCGGTCCAGGAGGATCTCCTGTCCACCAATACACCGAATCTGGGCAGCACTGCGGCGGCCAATGGTGGTGCGGCGAATGCCGGCGGTGGTGGCGGTGGAGGCGGTGGATCGGCGACATCTGCTGCCGCAGCGGCGGTCACTGGGTCCTCGGTGGGTGTGGTTGGTAATCCCGCCATGCTGGGCTCTAATCAGAATTTCCCCGGGATTGTCAATCAGGCGCAGCATGCCTCTGCCTCGGCCTATGGCGGTGGAGCTGGCGTGGGCGTGGGCGTGGGCGTTGGTGTGGGCGTGGGCGTGGGTGGGGGTCATGGTAGTGCAGCGGCTGCCGCTGCCGGATGCAATGGTTCCCTATATCCGGTTCTGCCCGCCAGTCTGCTCTACTCTCAGCTATATACCGCGGCCAATCAATCGGCCCATGGCTTCCACTCACACACACTGCCCGGTCATGCCTCCCATTCGCCCAACTCCTCGGTTCACGGCGAACTCCAGAGCGTTATGGATCACATCAGCAATGTGGGTGTCCGTCAGCAGCATAACATCATGACCGGCGGTGGAGTGACCCATCCGGGTGACCTCACACTGATCGGTAATTGTGGCGCCTCTGTGAGGAATATCGAGGATGGGAACAGCAATCGGCAGGTGGCCGCCTTGGCCGCCCATCGGGGTCACCATAATCCCACCGACAACGGGGGCAGCGTCTGGCGGCCCTATTGAGGTCAGGTGCTGTGGTGCGGCTCGGCGGTTCTATAGTGCGAGGGGGTCGGGCCGCAGCACGAGGGGCAAGGGGGCGTGGCAGGAATGGGAGCGGGTGCGGGAACAGGGACGGCGACGGGGATGGGGACAGGGACGGGAACGGGAACGGGAACGGGAACGGGGGTGGGGTTAAATGGGGCATAAATGGCTGCTTTGGCGGCTTTTGATCTGTGTAAATATATATAGAAGGGGAGGAAAATGGTGCTCATTTTTGGGGTATTCGGAGATCAACTATTGGAGATCAACTCCATGGAATTTTCAAGAAAACATACATTTCAATTAAGTTTTCTAAGAGCTTTATTTTTAAATTGTAACTATATTTAAATAAATAGTTCGATTGAGTTGTTAAAAATAATTATTTTGATGTATGAAAGTATTCAAAAGAAATAGTTAAACAAATGTCACTAAAAAATAAATATTCTATAAAGTTGAAGCCCAATTGTTTTGATTTCAAAAATTATGTCACGAATTCTTTAAAGTGAACTATTTCAATTATTGTAAAATTTAAAAATAATTTTAAAACATTTCATTTCGATATCTCAAGGTATAATCAAACCATTAAATACATCAAATTTATATTGTTTGTGCACAATTCACTAAAATTGTTCTTTATTCCGATTTCCACCAAAATTAACTTTAATATTACAGTTCTCCATAAAATGAGCCCCAAAGAAAGAAGTATTTTGTATATAAAATGGGTGTAATAGAAACCTCTAGGGATTGAAAAAGCTTAATGTCTAAAAACAGGAATAAAACCTAGAAATATATTCTGCGCAATCCAATGAAAATGTGTGTAGCTTGTATATAGTATTAGCAACAAAATATTTCTTGAAATCGCATAAGCAACTGAAAAGCAGTTTTGAATCCTAGAGAATTGTGTGACACCCTCGAAAAAAAACAAATTTTTTTCGGTGTTTTTTCATAAATATTTAGACATAAAAAACTAATAAAAATGATAACTTTTAGTAGAATTTGTTGGAGTTCTCAAGGACCTCCGTAGCGTATAGTTAAATAAAGCAAAAGATAACTAGAAAATAAGCAAGAACACAAAAATATTTAGCAAATTTTGAGAGCAGAAATATGTTGGGGTTCCATTTGGAAACAACATTCTGTGGATTTAAAGAAACACAAAAAACACACACAGATTAACATTGAAATTAGTATCCTTTTTTTGTGCAATTTTTTTCCAGGCCCGTGGTAAGCCCGAGCCATAAAACTAGTCATAGTAGCGATAAGTCCACATACAATACCAAAAAACAAAAAATACCAGCACATTTTCAACAAATTATATAGTACTTAGCAACTTGAAACTAGTCGTAAAAAAAAAACATTGTGAAGCCAAAGTCCAGATGATTTTTGTGATTTTCTCCTGTTTTACTGTAAGATACGAGGATGAAATGATATGGTTATTTGTGGGGTTTATAGCAGGGATATCTGGGGTGATTTAATTAGAGCCGATGTATGTCTGAGTTCCTAAGTCGTAATCCATGTTCGTGAATTTGTTTACTGTTCATTTCATGTGCTTCGATTTGCGTGTACTTTAAATGTGTATAAACAATGTGCAATCTAAGCTAACCCAAAGCCCAACATATATATAAATATATATAAATATAAATATAAATATTAATAAGCTTCTAACGAGATATATCTGTACACTAAATGGTTAACCGCACACACCAGCAGCCACAATATATGACACTTGGAAACTTAAATTGTAATTATTTTTTTGTCTATTTTTTTGTTAGCTCGTAAGTGGTAAAAAAGAAAAAACAAAAACAAAAGGATAGTGAACAGCAATTTAAATTCCAACACGCACACGGGGAAGGAGGTGGATCAGAAAATACACATAATTATACTATGCAAATGGTAAATAGGGTTAAGCAATCGGTTGGAAATGTCCAAGATAGCACATTCTTTAAATACATAAATATATATATAAAAAAACATATATAGATAAAAACACACTAACTAACAGAATCGATGTGAAAATCGTATTTGATGTATACCACAAGGAACGGAAGCGCAAAGTAAATACCGAAACTATGTGTATAATCTAGCCAAGATCCCCCCATATATGAATATATATATGAATAATAAAAGAATATAAAATAAACAAAGTAAAACCAGTTCTTTGTAATAAAATAAATAAATGTAATTACAGATTTTATTTGAAAACACACACACAAACTAAGTGAAATGAAAACCAAAAGAAGATCTAAATGAAACTTCAATTCAACGATTATATTAAATAAAATTATGAAATTAATAACATAATATAAACTATGGATTTTATTTATTTGGAGGAGGGTTGTTATTTTCATATAATTAAGTTTTAAAGCGTTTCAGGAGTTTGCAATTTATTATTTAATATATGATGGCATTTTCCATTGAAACTAAAGGTAAATATTACGTATACGCCCCATAACAAAATAATGGGAAAGCATATGTTATTTATTTTCTAAAAATGTAGGAAAATCTAAAGGTTGCAACAAATTATATATATAAAAATAATATATTTTAAAGCGGAAGTGTAAAATATATTATATAGAATAGAAATATAAAGCATAAAAATTACTGTAGAACAAAACGAAGAAGATATGAACAGGAAATGGAAACCAAGTTCGGTATATTATAAAAGTGCTTATAGAATTTATAGAACTTATAGAAATATAATATATTCTATATGCCATTTTATAATATATTGAATTTTGAACCATTTCCTTCTCTTATCTTCCACGATTTGCTCTTTAAAACTTTTACGACCCCATTGGGTGCCATTGGCAGGGCAAAACTTATGGCTTTTCCAGGATATTGCCTTTCGCCCTTCTTATATATGTGTAAATATATGTATATATTTATATGTGTTTATGTATATATCCCTTCTAAACCTTCTCGTTCTAATGCCATCTCAGTGTGGTTTTTGAATTTGGCGGGCCAACGTAATTTCTGCTCAATTTATTTCACATTGTGGCATCCAATTAAGCTGCAAACCAGCAGCCGAGCAATCCAACCAGAACTGGCAGAAACCGAGGAGTCCGACTAAATCTCACCTGGCCTTACACTGAACGAAAATAATCTAAAGAAATATAATATAATATCTAAACTTTTCATGAAGTAAAGATCCAAAAAGGATATCTTTTTATGGTTGTTTTATGTATAATGCAAATAAGAATAACTGAACAAGACATTTTTAAATAATGATACAGATAATTAAGAAATATTTAAAATATTTATTTAATTTTTCTGTTAACTAATTTAAAAATATATATAAAATTAAGATGCCTACTTTCTTTCTCTGTCCACATATATGGCTATAAAAATACGGTCAACTACAAGATGGAGGGCGGGAGTACTGCTCGGGTCGGAGGGGTCTCGGGGCGCTAGACGGTTTGGAAAAGCGGAAAAGTGGAAATCCAAAGCATCGGGACGCGAAGCGTAACAAATGAGTGGGGAGCACGGGCGAGCAGAGGAAGCGGAATAACCGCAAAAAGGTAGCCAACAGACGGGGGCGCTAAAGGACCCAGGATTAAGCACCAGATAAATAAGAGATCGATATCTCAGGGATATAAGGGAGAGAGAGCGCAAAAAAAATATAGGGAAGAGGTCCTGCCACAGAAAAAAGGACGGGACGAGGCGCTGGGAAAATACAAAAACAAAAAAGAAACTTTTAATTATTTCCATGCCGAAGATGTTTCGCATAACAAATTAGCTACCCGGCAAGTATGCAGTCGAGTGTGTGTGTGAGTGTAAGTAATTAAAAATTCTACCCATTACTTGCGATGCTTGGTAAAATTTCAAACAAACACCAAGACACATACACACATGGGGCATTTGTAAAGACACTGAGGAAATAAATGGAATTAAGGAAATATTAAGGATTAAATTAATGATTAAGGAACAATTTGTAAAACTTATAAAAGGGAAATTAAATTGTTTTATATGGTAAATATTTCTAAAAGGACTTAATTTATATATTTTTTAATTATTTTATGCCTTTATTTTAAGCTTTTAGTTAGTGAATTTCTCTCAGTACAGCTAAGCGCTAGAGGAAACCACTTGAGACGCTGATTTAGCCTCTCAACGGGCATTCTTTCACCACCCCCACAAAAACCCCACTTCCTGCCATTGGAGCGTGCCTCGCCTCGCATATTAACACGTTTCATATGGGTTAAATCCCCTGGCGACCATCAGCAGCAATGGGTTAAGAGGGGCGCCAAGGACCCCGCCTCCCACACTCGAGATGAGCCAAGATGATGCCTTGAGTGGAGTGGAGTGGAGTGGAGTGATGATGCGCAACTTGGAGTGGAAGTTGAGTGCTGAGTGCTGAGTGGAGTGGCATGGAGTCCTGTTGCATGTTTCCTTCTGTCTTACAAAACAAAAAAAAATTAATTTTTCTTATTAGCCTGGCGCTGTCTTTTTAGCGGAGGCCTTAATTAAGGTGATAAACAAGCAAACCGAATTATATCCCTCACAATGGGAAAGAAGATGAGTTTGGATGAGATGCAAAGTCCTCATAAAAGTTAAAAACGTGTCGAGGGATATGCCAAAGAGGGTGGTTTAAGATGTTTTGATTAAAGATTGTGCTTTAAAAACTATGAGAATATTATATAGAAATCAAGTAGAATATTTTTAAGGTTACTTATTGGTAGCTCTCCAAATTAATAGGAAACTATTATGGCTCAAAAAGTAGCACATTTTAATTGAAACTGAACCGCAAATGTATTGCCATTTTAAAGGCACATATCAAATTGTTTTGAAAAACTTTTTCAAGAATAAATTGTTTTATAAACTTTATGTAGAGTTTTTAAGTATTAAATTGTCTAAAAAACTATATTTGGTGTTTTTTAAACAATTTATAATGTGCTTTAAATAATGCAAAACATTTTTTAGTACCGTTTTCAGTTATTTAAATAAAGTTTTTAGCAAACTAAAAGTTGGTTACCAAATTTAGTATTACTTTG